GAGCTCTCTGCTATACGTCCACCCGATCCGCCATCTTGTTTGTTCTCCCATCATCACTCTTGTGGTTTCTATTTGCATTTCCTCAGTGGTTAATGACGTTAAGCATTTTTTCATGTGCTTGTTTACCATCTATAAGTCCATACTTCCTCTTTGGTGAATTTCCATTCAAATCATTTGCTTCTTTTTAAATTGGGTTGTTTTCTTATTATTAATTGAATTGGCAAAGTTCTTTTGATATTCTGAATACACATCCGTTTTATGTATTAGATTTGCAAATATTTTTTCAAGTGTTTGCAGAGAGCATACATTTGTTTGCAGAGAGCATACATTTTTAATTGTGAGGAACTTCAGTTTGTCTTTTTTTTTAAGGTTCTTTTGGTGTCATATCCAAGAAATCAGCCTAACCCAGAGTCACAAAATTTTTCTCATGTCTTTTTTACTAGAAGCTTTATAGATTTAGGTTTTACTTTTAGCTCTATGATTCTGTTTTACATATGATATGAGTAAGGATTCTTTTTCTTTTTTGACTCTAAGTGTCCAGTTACAGTACCATGTGTTGAAAACATTAATCTTTCCCCCTTCAGTTGCTTTGGCACTTTTTTGAAAATGAATTAACCATATTTTGGGGGTAGGGTGGATTATTTTTAACTTTTTATTCCATTCTATTGATGTGCATATATATCCTTATGCCAGTATCACAGTTTTACACAATATAATTTATTACAGGTTTATATTAAGTCTTGAAAACAGGTAGCATGTTTTCCTCCAATTTAGTTCTTCATTTTCCTAATTAATTTGGCTGAGTATTCTAGATCCATTGCTTTTTTCCATATAAATACTAGAATCAGCTTAATGAATTCTTTTTTTTAAAAAAGCCCCCTGGGATTATGATTGAAATTACATTAAATCTCTAGGTCAGTTTGCAAAGAATTTGCACAAGCATAGTATTATCTCTACATTTATTTAGATTTTTGTTATGTCTCATCAATTGTTTATAGTTTTTAACATGCAAATCTTACATATAATTGGTTAAATTTATTTCATATTAATGATGCTATTGCACATGGTACTGTCTTTTAAATTTCAGTTGCCAACTATTGTTGTTAAGTGACTTCAAGATGGTTCTGACTCACAGTAACACTGTCTAGGGTTTCTAAGAAGCAGCTGGTGGATTTTTAACCTCTTTACAGTTAGCAGTCCAATACTTATTCTACAGTATCACACCCTTCATTATTAGTATATAAAAATATGAATTTTTAAAATATATTAAACTTGATATCAAGTGGCTTTGATAAACTAATTTATTCTAGTAGGGTTTTTGTAGATCTGTCATATTATCAGGAGTCTCAGTGTGGTACAGAAAGATAAGCACTGGATTACTAACTGCAAGGTCAGCTGTTAAAACCTACCAACTACTCCTTGTAACCACTCTGTAGGGTCACAATGAGTCAGAACCGACTCATCGACACTGAACAACAACAATCATGTCACCAAGCATAAAACCAAATTTTGTTTTGTCTTTACAAAAGCGTTTTTATTTTATTTTGTTTTTCTTGCCTATTGTATAAATCACCAATACAATGTTACCTTTGGTTTCTGTGATTCTTTATAGATTTTTCTGTTTTCAATTTCACTGATTTCAGTTCTTTATTATTTTATAGTAAAGATATTTGATTATCCTTCATCCTTGTGCTTGTTTAAAATTTTATTTAATTTTGTCTTTGTTTCTCATATTTTAAACTTACCAACTATTTTTTTTTTTTTTCCAAGAAGCAGAAATTGGTGAAACAGTTACCTTTAACTTCTATTTGCTTAGAAACAGATTCACCTGCACTTGGACCAGAAAAACAGGTAAATTATATTCCCCATGGCTACATTATTTAGATCATATCTCTAATTTGACCTATTTCCAATTTAGCTGGGGTTTTTTTTCATTATATTGTAAATACAATGGAAACCTATTTTAATGCTACACTGAAGGATTACGTTAACTGTATTTCAAGTCTTTTTCAACATAGTTGGTATTCTTCAGAAAATATACTTAATATGGAGCATTAAATTTCTGATTTATGTAACAGTGACAGTCAGATCTGTGGTGGTGTTGTTGTCAGGTGCCTTTGAATTGATTCCGACTTACAGTGACCCTGTGCACAACAGAATGAAATACTACCAAGTCATGTACCATCTTCACAACTCTTGTTACATTTGAGCCCATTGATGCTACCTCTGTGCCATTTTATCTTGTTGGGTGGCTTCCTCTTTTTTGTTGACCCTCCATGTTATCATGCACGATGCCCTTCTCCCGGGACTGATAACATGTCCTAAATTGGATTGATGAAGTCTTACTGTTCGGGCTTCTGAGGAGCACTCCCGCTATATTTCTTCCAACACAAACCTGTTTGTTCTTCTTACAG